ACCAAGATTTCAACTTCTTTAATTATAAAAAAAAAAAATTCTAAAATTAAAGCGTTTCTACCATACAGTGGAATAATGGATAGCGGCACGGATTCAGGAATCGGAGAGCCGAGTTCGAATTCCAGTCGAATCCATTACATTCATTTACCTGCTAATACCCTTGGGAAAAGGTATGAATCCTCTTCTTCTCTTTATGGGTAAATAGCAGGATAGACTGGGTTCTATAGCCATGGATGGCAACTGGTCTACCACAGAAAGAAATGGCAACCTATTGCGGGGAAAAAATCTGCCTCGTCAGTCATGTATCGAGAGATATATAATCACCTAAGCGTATATCACGCATGGCACATAACTGACTGACCATTTCTAAGCTACATGCTTATGCATTGTGAAAATAGCAGCCGTACCTACTACGAAAAATTATCTCGAATCTTTTTAGTAGTACGGCGCGCCTTGTGATGAGCCATAGACCATGCGGTCCACTCCTCCAAAAAGGTTGCCCATGCCTAAAAGTCAAGTGACAGAGCAGAGGGTTTCACCGATGAAACCAACGACCAAGTCGATTCTTCAAGTTGGAGGATATACGCTGTGGTTTGACCTGGATAGGGATGGGCTCCGCTAAGTTCAATTGCCCAAAACAATAAATGACTACTTCTCCGCCTTTCAACGGCTGATATGTAGAGGGAACTTTATTTGAGGAATATTAGAAAGTTTAATTAATCTTATTTGAAACAACTTTTATTTACAATAATCGAAAAAATGTATTTTTTTTAACCAGACAGTAGCTGTTTATTTAAGGCGTTTCCGGGTTTGACAGATTCATGACCGATTGACATTTATCTAGTGTTGTTCTCTGGGGACTTTAGGCGTTAAAAAAATTAATTAAATTAACATGAGTGCCTTTTATATATGATTTTTAAGTACTCAGTAACCTTACAAATTTTAGAGGAGATTCTCCTTAATTTAATGTTTTATTGACACGATTTACATTATTTGGACTTGTCCTCATCTTTGTTGCCATATCTATCACAACGTTTCGGCCATTGTATGCTCCGGCCTTCTTCAGGTGTTTGGCATGACAAACTGAACCCTTTGTTTCGCTAGCTGGGTTAGACTGTTCTAGTTCCACGTGCCACGAATAATGTAAATAGTGTACATAATACCTCATCTCAGAAATATAGACAGATAAGGTTTTATTGAATTTTAAATATTTTTGGCTGTAAATTTACTAGTTATCGCTTTTATTTTAAAATAATGTGATATATGTTCGGCACGTTTATACATATAAAAAATTTCCAAACTTCTTTTATAATATTGGCGTGTGATGATTTGTACTAAGCGTTACTGTTGACCATGTTTGCCGTAGTCTCTGAATATGAACTCCAGTGAAGACCGTAATACCTTCAATATCAGAGGTTAGCAGTGAAGATTCAGAGAAAGTAGCGGCTGTTAATTCTGTAAGTCTTCGATATCAGAGGTTGGCAGTGAAGATATTTTGGGAGAAAAAACAAAATGGCTGCCTTTATACACGTCGGATTGAATATTTTGAGCTTTCTGATTGGTTAACCCTTCTCTTGGTGGACTATAAAATGAGTCAGCTCATTTTGGCTAACTCACTAGTACACAAAGTACCCAAAAATTCTAACAGTTACAATTTATGAAATTTTTACTTAATAATATCACCTAACCCGTACAGATTAATACAGACATTTAAAAGATTTAAAACTTTATAAATTATTCTAATTAAAATTAAAAAAAGAAAATAGTTCTTGCAAAATTGTTATGGTCCAGGTTAGGACCAAGGAAGAACAACACGAACACAAGAGTAGAAATAACGAAGGTATATTACACGAAATAATAATAGAAGATGTGGAAGGTGTTAGTATGACTGTCAGTCTGGTTTGAAGTGAACTACTATCGGCTCGACTCGATTCAGCACCTAGCCACCCCCCCATGAGGGTTGCATGTAGCACAAGGCCGAGTTTAACGTGGGTTTCCCGAAACCGTAGGCTCGGCCAAAAAATGCCCGTAAAAGCCGTATAAACGGGATCGGGTTGGTCAACCTCCCCGAACGAGACTCTGCCCTTCAGCGGAGCCTCGTCTGGGTTCCTCTCTGCACAGAGGCAGAGAGTTCGACCGTCAAGCCGAGAAGCTCGGCTCGATTCGTCCCTCTCTCTCTTGAGAGGCGTAGTATACTTAGTGGTAGAAAGAGTTGATTCTGTAGTTATACGTAAGGACCCATGACATTAAGACTATAGTGTCCATAATATATCTTATTCATAAAAATAAAAGATTTTATAATTGAATTATGTCTTAGTTTGTTTGCATTTTATTTTACGATTCAGAGCAGATTTTCGGTAAGCGGGAGAGCGTTTGCAACAAATATTTTTGCAGTAACTTTTTTTATTTTTAACTTTCAGGAAACTACGTAACAATATTATTCAAACGCCATTTTGAAATGATTTTAAAATGAAGCGTCAATCTCCACCAGTTTAGGCTATTTCATTGTAATTCATGAGATTGTTTAATGATACTATCGATAAATGATGATCTCTCTTACTGCGATTATCGTTATTAATATAAATTTTATATTCGTAAATGTTTAGTTATAAATCACAAAATGTCTTGGAAAATTTTTTCCTAAAGCTAACTTCTCTTTTCCGACACATAATTCTCTTAATGCGTAGAAATCAGAGTCGTAATAAAATTTCAGTTTTAAAAGAGGAAAGTGATGCAAAGATTCACAGAAGGTTAGCAACTGTTTATGGAAAAGTTGCACCTGATGTCAACACAATGAGATGGATCAGTAGAGTTAGTGACAAACTGAGAAAGAAAAAAGAACTGATCTCGGTAACAGGATACGATAACAGGCTCAGAGGTAAGTTTAACAATACAGGGTGTCCTCGACTTACGTCGGAGATCCGTTCCTACGGCGCCTGATTTTCGAGTAGGTCGGAACTGACCAAAATATGCACCCACAAGTCTGCCTTACTCTTGGAAGCTATAATGAAGGACAAAAATTTCCCCCAAAACGACACAAACGAGAGGTAGCGAATGTAGCAGAATCGAATAAGGCGTACACCTGATGAAGAAACAAGGTCGTCTTCCTAATATAGCGCCGCGTGACGCCGTATTATATTATGGGAGATGACGCCGTAACCACGAAACGCCGTACGTCGGGTCCGTCGTAACCCGAGGACCTTCTGTACAGTACTTTACAGTATTTCAGTTAATGAAAGTGAGGCTACTCCAATCCTAGCTATCAAAACGGAAAAAATGTTTCTTATTTTCATCTATATACACTGCCTTGTTTGTATACGGCAAAAAGGAAACAGAATAATCGAAAAAATGAGGACAAAGCGGAATAAAGAAATATGTCTAAAGAAATAATGGATTTTTTATTATATTTTTTTTTTATGAATATAGGTTTTTCCTGCAAAGTGGGGCGCAGGTTCGAATCCTGCCAGATGATTGGTTGGTTTATTTTCTTTTGTGGCATATCAACCTCTATATACTGCTGAAATCTAAATATTTTGAACACAATCGTACGCCTTCAACTACAGATAAAATGTATTGCTGGTACCTTTGCAATAAATATGTATTATTGATATTTTTTTATATAAAATGTATTGCTGGTATTTTTACTATAAAATTTGTTATATAATTTTTATAGAGGACATGTATCTATGCTTTATAGACTACGCGGCGTTCAACAAAGTACACCACAAGGATCTGCTGAAACTAATTAGCCACCTTGATATATTCGGGAAAGATATTAGAATAATCAAGAACCTATACTGGCAGCAAACGGCATGCATGCGCATTGAGTATGAGTTCAGCGAATATACAAAAATAGAAAGGAGCGTAAGGCAAGGATGTGTCTTCTCACCGGACTTATTCAACCTATAAAGCGAGGCAATTCTGAGGGAACTGGAGATCCTACAGGGATTTATCATTAGCGGGCACAACCTTAGTAACATAAGATACGCAGATGACACAGTGCTGAGAGCAGACACGGGAAATAAATTACAAAACCTCCTACAGAATGTAGTGAAGGAGAGCAAGAAGAAGGGACTAATTATAAACTACAAGAAGGCAGAATGCATGGTCATCAGTGAAAGGATGAGCCCGAAATGCGAGTGTCCTTCAAGGGTGAAATGATAATTAGTTTTGTTCAAGATTCCCTAACATAAATTCTGGGACAAATACCGAACGCATAATAACTGCAAGCCATCAGCTCATGACATAAAGGTTGAATGAACATCGTTTCATTCATGTACGTTTTATATTTACTAGGAAATCAGCGAGTAACCTACCTAACGAGGTTGTGTAAATGGTTGACAGAACATGAACTGGTAGGCATGATAAAGGCAAAAACATTGTTGCGAGGTACAAAGGATAAGAAGTTGTGGAGAGCTATGACCGCCAACGTCCTAAAAGTACACGGCACAGAAAAGATGAAAGAAGGATTTGACTTTCTGATGGACAAGTAGAACGTGAGACCAGGGAGCCGAGTTCGGTTCTAGGGCAATGTTATTGTGTTCATTTTCGCATAAATATTCTGGAGAAAGATATGGATCCAATCCTCAAACACAGCTATAGGCTAAATAGCATAGTAGACTTGACAATCAAGCTTTGGGTGACAACCAGTCTAAGAGTCAAAAAACCTTGAATTCCAAAACTATCTTTTCCCAAAATGCATAATTCATGGCTAAAAATAAAAAAAAAAAACGAGTCTGTAGAGAGTGATCATTACCTACGTCCTGAAGAGACGCGGCATTTTTTAAAATAAAAATTGTGTTTGCTGATTCAACTTAAAGACGAATAGATTTACGATACATAGAATAGAATACATGATTTAAGCCTGCCTAGTGGTTGAGATAATTGCATGTCTCTCACCAGACAGAAGTCAGGCTTTAGAATGATAGTTTTCAAGTCCATCCTCTCATTTGGACATTTAATATGATGCAATAATTCTATTCCAACTTTTTTATATTCAGACTTGCGACGTACAGACAAAATTTAAATGCAATCTTCTTATTACTACTAGCCTTGTGCCATACAAATTAAGTTTAGTAAGTAGCGATATAATACGTTCTTTCTTTGTTTCTTTTCTTTCTTTTCTTTCTTTTCTTTCTTTTGTTTGTTCTTTTCCTTTCTTTTTTCTCACTTTTTTCCTATTTTTTCTTTTTCCTCTCCTTCATTCTTTTTTTATCCTTTTTTTCTATTATCCTCTATTCTTTCTTTCTTTCTTTCTTTCTTCTTTCTTTCTTTCTTTCATTTTTGTCTGTCTTTTCTTTCATTCCTCTCTTTCTTTTTTCCTTCCTTTCTTTCTTTCTCTATCCTCCTCTCATAATTCTTTCATTTTCTTCCTTCCTTTTTTTCTTTTCCTTGCTTCCTTTCTTTTCTTTCATCTCTTTTCTTTCTTCTTCCTTTTTTCTTTAGTTTTCGTTTTATGTTCCCACCATGTCCTTTTTTTTTTCTTTCTGTCATTTGAAAAAGATAACCGAATCTAGAAATAAAAAAAGTAATAAAAAAAAATAATAATGTTCTCTTATCGGTAATTAAACGTTTTCTGTTTTTCACGAATTTTTCTAAAATGTTTACTTTTGATTTATTTATAAAGAAAACCAACAATTACGATTAACATGAAATTTTCAAAATTGATTTTTTTTCATCAAACAGTAGCCTTATCTGAAGAGAACTGTCCACACACATATACATACACGCAATACACACACACACACACACACACACACACACACACACATATATATATATATATATATATATATGATTAAGGGAATGGCAAATAACAAATAGTGTACTGGTGCGTTTCCTTCTTAGAAAGAATCTCTTCAAACAAAATAACAGTTTTAATGATGGAATCAAGTTTGCATATGAAAGTGAAAAAATTGTGGAGAGCAGATAAACAACAATTGCAGGATACAGTTTACATCAATACGTTAACGATACAGACTCTCAACATTTAAATTGAAATTTCTACATCCGATATCTCTAAATTTTAAATTTAGTTCATCGCATTCAACATTTTAGCACTTTTATTTTTATCGTTCAGTCAGTTATGTGCCATAAAAAATGCTAATGGTGAGAATAGCCGTTTCCTTATAAGGAAACATTCCGCATCCATTGACCGAATAGCTAGCGTTGGGATTTATAAATTCTTTCTTTTAAAACGGTTTTGCAGGAAAATAATTTTCTCAAGTGCATTGTTATCGCTCTTTCTATTATTGACTGTGGGGGGGGATTACTCCTAACTTTGTTGAAAATAAGTCAACATCTTAAGTCATTGTTTTATCATCGAGTTATATATTCTATCTATTTCGGAAAAATAAGTTTCTCAAGTGCATTGTTATCGCTCTTTCTAGTATTGATGGGGGGACTTCGAAACCTTTTGTTTAAGGTAAATCAACATCTTAAATCATTATTTTCTCATCGAGTCACATGTTCTGTCTATTTTTGCTGTTGCTGTTGGAAGTCTCCAAGTGATACGCTTTTTGTTATTTGGTAAAGTTATTTGTGATTCTGTAGCGCCAATCGGTGAGATCTAATGAAGGATAGAACATCAAGCTAACGTAAAAAATATTTTAAACAGTATTTTTCGCTCAAACCGACGACTCGTGAATAACACACTGCCTTTGTTTTGGAAAAACATCAAATAAAATGCTTGATGGATAACTAAAAAAATATATCGTTAGTGCTTTGATCACTTTCTATTTAATTTAATATACGTTGTAGCGGTTCTGTTTACTACTTGACAATCAAACGATAAATGCTTTTGTTTAGCTCTCTAGATCCTCGGAGATATCAACAACTGACGACTAGACTTTGGTGAAAAAAACATAAAATTTTTTTTAACCAATCAGAATACACCATTTCTTAACCCAGTCTCTGAACCCTTTGAAAGAGCCACTCTACACGTCTTGTATAATGACATGCATCTCGCGTTCAGTGTTATTCAACGACTGCGAAATACAGCTACAAACTGCACAGGGCCTGTGCGTACTACCCTCGAAGCCCTCGACCGGGTGATAGTAAGCCTGATTGGGGCCCGGGGCATTGCTATTTAACACTCACTAGCATTCATTTATTGTACATAATTAGGTTACAATAAATTTTGTATTTTATATGAATACGACCTTATGAAAATTGAGATATATTAGAATAGAGAGGGCGTAGGATGCAAACGAAAAGGAAGCTTATACTTAACATCAGGAAGAGGCAGCTGAAATTTCTGGGACAAGTGAGAAAGGAGGACTTGGAGAATCTGGTACTCACAGGGCGGATAGAGGAAAAGAGAAACAAGAGAATGCAACGCATGACATACCTGGCGGGCTTAAGCAAGTGGCTAACGGAACAGGGTTTGGGAGAAATAGCAAAAGAACAAAACATTGAGAATTACAAGAGATAGGGGGAAGTGGAGAACCATGATCGCCTACGTCCTGAAGGGACACGGTACATAAAAGAAGAATCATAGATTCAAAAGCGAAGTGGGAACGGGCAAATGAGACCCTTGCACCTACGCTGCAACTACATACCATGCAACTACCACATCACACTAATCTTCGATTTCGTAACTAAGAGCTTTGTTCCTGCCAACGAATTTCTTCTTTATGTGCCGTGTCCCTTCAGGACATAGGCGCTCATGGCTCTTCACAATTTCCTGCACTTAATAAATTTTGTCTTTTTGTTATTTCTCCTTGTTGTGGTACGATCCACCTAATTTACATAGTGGAGTACCGACCATATAAATATGGGTTGGTACCGGAAGACGGGGAGGGAGAAGTAGGAAGAGATCCAATCGAGAGACTCTGCCCGACTGCGATTAAGTCAACCCATTCTACAGAAACAGTCTACCCAAGAATATACCAAAACTAACTGTAAATATTGTGTACCTTTTCCTTGTTTCAATACATTTTGTTTACGTACATTTTGTGTTGTATTATTATTATTCCATGCTTATCCAAGCTTCAACACTCCTAAACCTTGTTCGCCATCCAAATTAAACCCTTGCACATCCACTCTATACATCCTGTATAATGACACGCATCTCGTGTTCAGTGTTATTCAACGACTGCGAAATACAGCTACAAACTGCACAGGGCCTGTGCGTACTACCCTCGAAGCCCTCGACCGGGTGATAGCAAGCCTGACTCAGTTGTTTTCCTCTGTAACCCTCTTACCTTTAATCTGTCCAGTGAGTATCAGATTTTCTAATCATTCTTTTCTCATTATGTGCTCTAGAAATTTCAACTGTCTATTCCTAGTGTTAAGTATACGTTTCCTTTCTGTTTCTTTTTTTCTTTAAAATTTCGTCGTTGCTCACATGTTCGGTCTATGGTATCCTTGACATCCTTCTGTAGAATCACATTTCTGTCGCTTCAAGTCTTCATCTTTGAAGAGATTGTCCACCATGCACTTCCGTAAAGCAGTTCAGTACTCTTTTCTTTGTTTCTGATGCATTAACATTACGTTTGGGATCAATCGGAGACCAACTTTACCTAATGTATCAGATGCTAAATAAATACTTGTTAATATAGATTCTAAAATTTTCTTAACCTTATTATTTCCTATCTCTACACAAGCTTCAACCCTATGCATGTTCAATGCCGTTAAGTACGCTTAAATTCTTTCACTTTTGTTCTGTAGCCAATCCCCAATTTAACCTAATTCTACGTTAGGAAGGTGCGTCTACACACACAGTGGCAAAGAAGCCAGCCACGCAAATGTCAGATCAACCTCCACAAATTCAGTCAATTATGTGTCATGCGTGATACACGCTTAGGCGATCATGTATCTTTCAATACGAGTCAGATTTTTCTTGCAGTAGGTTTCCATTTCTTTCTGCGGTAGACTAGTTGACATCCAAGGGTATAGAACCCGGTCTATCCTGCTATTTGAAGAAGAGGATTCATACCTTTTCCCAAGGGTATTAGCATGTAAGTTAATGTAATAGATTCGACTGAATTCGAACTCGGCTCTCCGATTCCTCAATCGCTATCCATTACGCCACCGTAATTAGTGACCCTAAATCAATTAACAAACTGGTAACATCGGGTAGAATAAACATCAAACCACCAAACTGAAAACAAGAGTCATATTCTTAAATAAACTCGTCAGATCTAGACTTTCATATGGATGTCTTGCACAGTGTGCAACACGCTAAGAAATGCCCAAATTATTATTTGTGTGCAACCGTTTTTGTTTTTTTGTTTTGTTTTTTTTTTGTTTTGTTTTTGTTTTTTTGTGTTTTTTTTGTTTTTTTTTTTTTTTTTTTTTTTTTTTTTTTTTTTTGTTTTTTTGTTTTTGTTTTTTTTTTCAGCGAATGAAACCATTACCTCTTAAATAAGACAATCGTCAATCAGACACTATAATGCTCAGGAACCTTTTTCTGTGTAACACTCAATTTTCAACAATGGCAATCTGGTACGCCCACTAATCAGTAATTTCTGAATTAACAGATTAAATTTAAATGGATCCAGATCAACCATAGAGCCATTGTGTTCCTTTTAAACACAGTTCATGATATAAAATAATGCGGTAACAATATTGTCAATTGTATTATTATTTACACATTTTAATTTTTATTTGCATTACAAGTTGTTGTAATAATTATTATTACTCACATTATACAATATCAAATGCAATAAGAAATTAATAAGAAAAAAATTTGTTTTTTTAGAATTGAAACTGATATCACACTAAAGGCTTTATCATTCAAGTAATAGTATGGACTGACAATTTATACCAATTTTAGTATTTACCATATTATAATTTTCAAAGGTGAGGTCATTAAAAAATAAAATAAAACAGAAATCTCCTTTCTGTGCACTTAGTTTCATTTTTTTTTCTAGGTAATTTTTTTCAAAATAATAATCATATTGTTTTATCACACATACTTGTTTTTTTACATTTATTTCAAAATACGTAAAACAGTGTGTAACTATTTATTTTAGGCACCACAAAAATGTATCCTTTTTCCGCAATGAAAGTAAAAAATCCACACCCCCTGTTTTAAAATATTTGCACAAAAAATCAAGGAAATTATCCGATTCAAATATCAGGGAATTATCTGACTGAAACAAAATTTTCAGGACTTATTTATTACTGAATGAGTATTTTACTGAATACAGTATTCCATTATGAAACACTGGGGAAATATTTTTTGTGGATATGTTTCACATACCCTTTTCGATATCACGTGTATACTTTTCAATTGGAGGGGGCGTCCAATTATTTTACAGTTATATAAAAAGAAATCCCCGAAGATATTATTTCAGTAAAAAAAATATGAAGTATTGGGTGCGAACATACGGAGAAATCGTCAATTGAATAAAACTCAAAAAATATTTTTTTTAGAATTAGTGTTTGCATAATTTAATAAAAGACGTTAATTTCTTTCAGTTTCGACAGAAAAACACGAACTTAATATTTATTTGTAAAACATTGTAATTTTTCAGAGCAATTTTGAAATTCATCCTTTTTCTGTTTGTCA